AAAAAAAAAAAAAAAAAAAAAAAAAAAAACAGAACGTGACACGAATGATGGTTCAACTCGTTTCGGATAGGCGTAAGTATGCCACGGCTTCGGTGCTCGCAACAATCCGCGATATTCACCCGGTGTACTTATTCACCCGGCCTGTCACTCGATAATGAGTCATCAACGTTATCCTCTTGCAAACGACATTCAATATTTGCATCGGTCTTCCTTCCCTGCAAATTGTCCCTCTTACTCGAACACCTGTTATTTGTTATTTGTATAATACTGCGTCTTGAAATTCCTACAAACGCGTAATTTCAATTGTACAACAAATTGTACAAGTTGGCTGCATACGCAACTATAGAAATTAATAATATTGGGTTGAAATTATTGAAATATATACCAAATATCCCGAGGGGATTTCAATATGGTTTTAGGCTGAAATGGTGGCGAAGACGGTCATTAAACTCTCTCTCGCGGCTTGTTGTTCGCGTGTTGCAAGCGTGGGCAACGAACTTCTTTTGGAAACCCGATATTTATAGAAAGGCAATAGGTTGACGTCATTCTCGGACTGCACCTATAAGTGCATCCTTTCCGATGCCGCGTAATGTTTTCCTGCGTAACATTACAACGGCAGCCCTACGGTGACGATGCACCGAGAGTTCGAGAGTTTTACTATCGTTACGCTATGATCCGCAACTCCGAATGATCAGTGTCGATGAATTGTTCCCTTTATTGACTCATTCGCGCGTCAGGCTAATTTCAACTAATTTCAATTATCCTCTCAATTTTCGGAAATAATTGCAAAATACTTGTTTACTTACTCGAAATAATTTAGAATTAATTTGTCATTAATATTAAAGTGAAATTAGAATTATTTTAGCTAATCATTTCTAACGTTAAGTCTCTCGCCTTAACGTTTATCCGCCACTGTGTGCAATGTCGGCCAGTTTTATACGCTGCAAATACTAATTTAATTTCAGACGCGAGAAATGCATTATACCTGCAATGTGCATTGCAGATCAATTTCATCGAATGTTATCGAACGCGAGTTGAGCGTTACTCGATCTGCTTTCAATTACGTCGATAACTGTTAACCAATGGAGCAGAAATAGATTACTCGCAAGCCAAGTGACTGCTACTTACCTACGTTGTACAAATTAATTACTCGCCACTTAAATATCGTG